AAGAGCGTTGAAAGCTAATGGGCCTGTGTAATTAAGAAGACACAAGTTGAAGGACAGGCTCCGCCCCTGTTTGCTTTGCTGTGTGTTACGCCTGTGTGCGGTGAAACTCCAAAACTCTGGATTTTTACCACTTTGTTAAACATGGAACTGTTGATACGCTGCAGCCCTAAGTATTGCATCTATGTTAAAAGAACAGTTCAATATTCTGTGGTTTTGGCTTTGGATGTTGATTCATTCTTTCTTTCTGCTTCTAAACAGCTACGGGGAGTAAATAAAGCAATTAGCTCTACAGTAGATATAATAGATCACTAATAATAGATATTAAATACATGGATAGTTTGCTGCTGGCATCATGTATAAGTTCCTATCTGGGAGTGTGTGCTGGGACTTAACTCTGCTGGGAAGAGAGACGGAGAGACCTGGGGCTGTTCAGCCTGGAGAGGAGACGGCTGAGAGGGGATTTATTGATGTAGAGAAATATCTGAGGGGTGGGGGTCAAGGGGAAGGGGACAATCTCTGCTCAGTGGTGCCCAGCAACAGAACAAGCAATAACGGGTGTAAGTTAGAACATGGGAAGTTCCACCTCAACGTGAGGAGAAACTTGTTGGCTGTGCGGGTGCCTGAGCCCTGGCCCAGACTGCCCAGAGAGGGTGCGGAGTCTCCTGCTCTGGAGACTTTCCAACCCGCCTGGACGCGTTCCTGTGGGGCTGCCCTGGGTGACCCTGCTCTGGCAGGGGGTGGCACTGGGGGATCTCTGGAGGTCCCTTCCAACCCCCAACATTCTGGGATTCTATGGTTCTGTGCAGGTGTAGATGTTTTGCATTGCCTCTCCCCAGACACATGATATTAGGTCTGTTTTCCTCTTGGCTATGAAAATGCTCTGAACTCTCTTGACATTCTCATGTCAACAAGCAGAGGGGTCCTAATTTTGGAACGTAAACCAGCAGCTCTTGACCGTGTGCTCTTAGCACAGTGAGTGTTCAAGCCATGAACATGGAATTACTGAAGAAGCTGTGTTGGCTCACTGCTGTCTGGCTGGATGTGTCCAAATACACAATTTCACGTAGGTGACTGGACTTTGTGTGGAAGACCATGTGGTCCCAGCCTGGACTGCCCATCAGAGCCCAGTGGCTCTGGTCTCAGGGGCACGGTCAGCTCTAATTCTTGGTACCTCGAAACTTCGAGGAGTGACTGACCTCTGAAATGTCATGTTTCGAAACAGAGCTTCAGTTCTTAGATGAGGTGGCGTTCTTGATTTGTGTTTTTTGCGTTTTTTTAATTATTTTGCTGTTGCTGTTAAGTCTTCTCTAAGTGTGCTTGAGCAGTGGCATGAATGTTTGGGAAAGGACCGAAGGTTTGGCTTCCTCATTTAATAGAGGGGTGTAATTCTACCTAATTAGCTCTTTGGTCCCACAGTCCTGAAACTGTAAGCCTGCTTTAGTTAAATCTTCACTTTAAGACTAAAGTAAAAGTTCTGTGTGTTCTATGCGTGTTTTCAGGGAAGCGACGCTTGGTCTGAGCAGCAGCGGCCAAGCCAACAGCCCGTTTAGAAGGCAGAGCACAAGCGTGGGAATTGGAAAAGCCTGGGGACCTTCTTTCACTCATTCTGCTGACTTCGGGCTACCCCGAGGTTTTTCTTTCTTTCTTTGTTTAAGGATCACATTTATCTTCTTTATGAACAGAATTATTTTGAGTCGCAAGTCTTTTGTTTGGCTGCGAGGGCTCCTTTGGGGAAGCTGTTCCTTCTCCTTTTGTCCTGAGGTTCCCCTCGCAGGATTTCGTGAGTTGTGGTGACGGAGGCGCGGGGCTCAGTTTAATCCCGCTGAAGCAAGTCTAGAGGTTTGTTGTAGATCTTGTCTGAGCGTGATAAAACCCCGATCCCAGTTTCTCATACCTGTGCGTGTCCTTCCAAGGTTGAGGCAGTTTCTGGAAACGTGTTCAGCAGCCTCTCTCTCTTATGTTTTTGGAAAATGGATAATTTTCCTTCCTGCTGTGTGTGGTGTTGCTGGCAAACAGCTCTCGCTGCAGCCCTTTGGAGAGAGTGTCACAAGCTTCATCTTTTTTCTCATACGTGGATGTGTCTCCCTCTAAGCGGTCATTCTGACTTCCTAAACTCTCTCTGCCTATTAGTGTTGTACTCCCAAAGGATCTTACTCTCATTGCACATCGTTTTCTGATATCAGGGTACCAAGTCAATCAATTGCATGTGAACTAAAATCAATTTGTCAGAATTTTAAAACCTATCATCTGTGGCTGATACCACAAAACATTTGGAGGGAAAGCTCAAATACTCCCCAACTCGTCCTCCCAAGTTTTTCCTAGCTTGGCTCTGGGGCTGTAATAAGTAGCCTAAACTAGAACTTTAGCTAACATGCTTTTTTGTTGTGTATTTTTTAACTTAGCTGGAATAAATCCAGATCCGTGCAGCTTTTCTCCCCCACCCCGGGGTGGGCAGCGGGCCCCTGGGTTAACACTCAGTGCTTGTGCAAGCAGTAGCCCTGTTTTCCTGATAGGGCAGTTACTAATTTCTGTGACACCTTCCTTGCAATTTTGCGTGACGTATTTTACTCTCTAATACGAGGGAAGTTCCCTGACAATATTTTATCTGCTTGTTCAGTGCTCGGTGGTTTCTGTGGTTCCTGTGCAACCTGTGGCAGGTGTACTCTGAGTAAAGCAAGCATTCGTCAGTGTTAGACATACCTGTTACAGCTAAATTCCTTCCCCCGAGACCAAATGTAGCCCTCTGCTAAGAGGAATCTTTTTGTGCTTACTTCCACAAAAAGCATTTTTGGATGCATTGTTTGCACTGACATCTCTTGGAGATTTAGTTTTACACTGATTTATTTTCTTTCCATTCGTGCTGGGAAGGACGATGAGTTTGTTCCTTTTCTTGTAGTTGGAAGCAAGAGGAGAGGCCTCTTGGTAAGAAAGCAGAGAGGTGCCCGAGGGGTGTGTTTACACCCCGTGCAAGCAGGTGACAAATGTCACATAAAGT